GGGTTGCCGTTACAAATCAATAGACTATAAATGTCAACACCAGAAATCTCATTGATAGTAATGGGAGCAAACTAAGTTAAAATTATAAAGGTAAACAATAGTGAATAAATAAACATAAAAGATGTTAAAAGAAAATTATATTTGTAAAAGATAAAGAAATGAACAAAATTAAACAATACAAAATAGAACAAATCAACCTAATAATACAAATAAGTAGATATAAGTACAAATAAGTAGATAATATCAACATTGAATATGTACACTACTGCTTAGTATAGAACTCATTGAACAGGGAAATATAAGGACGGAAAAAGTGTCATTTAAACTGTCATAGTCATGATATTAGCGTAAAAATTAATTATTGGAACCAGCTGATTCGAACCAATCAAACTAAACATTCTTATCATTGTGTTATTGTTTCAATTGGACCTTTTTTACATAGAACAATTAATTAGAGATGTTGCTAAATTGTGACAAAAAATACCTTAGCTATGACAAACGGGTAGAAATGTCATTGGTCCATTTTCCTGTAGTCTACTTTAGTTTGCAAACATGACCCAGTCCATTAAGCTTTCTAATTCACTAATGAGTTGTTCTACCTAAGTAATGTATATAATCAATTATTTATTATTTAAAATAAACAAACTATTATCAAATAAAATCATTAGTTGGTAAGCATGTTATACATACATTTTGTTTAAGACAATGTGTAAACATGATTTGCATCTGATGGGTGTGTTAACTATTCGCTTAACATAAAAAACTCATGTTTTATCCTGACTAAGTAATCATAATTAATTGTTAATTCCAGAGTGATAATTGACTATAACAATATGTCTTTACAATCATAACATTTTATAAACTATAAGAAAAAATTTATAATGAGATATAATTACAAAATACTACTTTCAAACAGTATATATTTGATTTATATTTAAAACAACCAACTACTTGATATAAATTTCTCCAAATATAAACACATGTAGATATATATATTTATTTAGTACACTTTAGTAGTAGATACTAAATATACTTGGTGTAAGAACAATATACTGTACACATATTGACGGGAGAATAAGATATTTCTTACCTCTTGTAATCTTCTCTAGTAACCAATTTCATAGTTTTTGATCGTTTATTTCAACTTATCCCAGTTTGAACACCCAGTGCCGGATTTAGGGTACTTGCGGCCCTAGGCCAAATTACTTGGGCGGCCCTCCCCCTGTGGTGAAAATTCCTTGCGATCGCAGAAATAATCTTGAATATTTCCAATGCATCAACAGGACATCATCGATAACCGTGATCGTGGATGAAATCGTGGGCATCCCTCCTAAATCATATCAAAGCCATCATAGGTAATCATTACCGCGGCAAAATCATGAACTTTTCCCGCAGGCTGCTACAAAGGTGCATCATCCTTGATACTCGCGACCACGGCGAAATCGTCATCACATCCCGTGAGCTGTAACCTTGAGGACATCATCACCGTCACCCGCGACAGCAGTGAAATCGTGAACACCTCGCGCATGCCGCAATCACGGGGACGTCATCACCATCAACCGCGGCCGTGGCAAAGTCGTGTTAAATAATCTCCCGTGGACTGCGATAATGAGGACACCATCATTGACACCCCCAGCCCCAGTAAAATTGGGAAAATTTCCCGTGGGCCGCAATCACGGACATCATCGACCTTCGCAACCGCTGCGAAATCGAGAACATCTTCCGTGGGCCGCAATCACGAGGACATCATCATCGACACCCACGGCCGCGGAGAAATCAAGAACATCTCCTGCGGGCCGCAATGACGGGAACATCTTCTTCAACACTCGCGACCGTGGCGAAATGGTGAACTTTTCCCACAGGCCACAATCACGGACATCACCGACCTTCGCGACCGCTGCGAAATTGAGAAAATCTTCCGTGGGCCGAAGATGCATGTATCATCGACACCCGCAACCGTGGTGAAATATTGAACATATCCCGCGGGCCGCAATCACGGGGACGTGTTCACTTTCACCCGCGGCCGCGGCGAATTCGTGAACCTCTCTCTCGGTCCACAATCACGGAGACATCATTATCGTCACCTGCGATCGCGGCAAACTGATGATTTAAAAAAATGATTCTTATCTAAAAATTTTTTTTCAATCCTCTGCGGTCCCCTTTTGCTTGCGGCCCTAGGCCGCGGCCTAATTGGCCTCTGAGTGGTAAATCCGGCACTGTGAAAACCTTTTAAACACAAAATGAGTATGTTCTGATTATTAATTTCTTATGTAGGCCTAACCAATTACAACTACCTAATGGAAGTAACGGAGAAATTATTTTGTTTGTTTAGTATTTAAGAAAACATTCTCAAATTGTGAATTTTATATTCAGTATTTTTGAACTCATATATATATAAAATTTAAACAAATGGAGTTTTTAGCCTCTGGGAACATCAAAATAAAAAAGTATATCGGTCCTGGGTCTAGGTCTTTCTGTGCCACCTACAGTAATAGCTTCTTCCCTATACAGAAATTTGCTATAACTATGTCAATGTAACCAAACAAATGGATTTAAAAAAATATTTGGGTCTAGATTGTTGAAGTTGAACAAAATTATGTGCCCAATGAAATGAACTCAATGCAAGTTTAGTGAGGTTGAAGAAGAATAAAGAAGGTAAGATTAAGATTGACCAAGTACAACAATTTAAAACTGAAAATTGAACCTTCCGGCATACATAGAATGATAAACAACAATATCTTTGGTTCTGAAACATATGACAGCCATCATGAAAATCAAAGCGTGTAATAACAAATATCAATTAGTAATCAAACAAAAAAACCTTTGTAAACGAAGGTTTTTCGGTCGACAGTATTAATAAAGCTCAGAAAAATATAATTACAACAGATATAATACAAGAAAAATATACAGAATATTCAATACAACTTAAGATCTAGTTATAAATAAGCGTTAAAAAGGTAGTAATACGAAATAATGTTCTTGCACTTGAATCGCTTGCTAAGATTGAACTTTAAACTAAATAACAATACTGATTAGTCAGAACAAAACATTATTTAATGTCTACAAAAGAGTTCACAACATCGGTTCAATTGGTCAAATTAAAATTCTTTCAATTTTAATGAAATAGATATAGAAGAAAAAACTACCAACATAAATTTTATCTAGTGGTGAGGGTTTGGTCTAGATACAGCCTAACAATTTATAAAAATAAGTATAAGGTCTTTCATCCAACCACCAATTAAGCTCAAATAATTTGCAATAGACAATAGACTTAAATCAGATAAATTATGCTCTTCTCATGGTTATGGTATGTTCATATTTATCTGTGTTTATTAATATTTTGTTATCGTTGAATTATTGTTTTGTTCTAAGAGTGAAATATAATACTGATAACACCTATAAGAACATGGAGGATCACCTAAAGAGAGTTTTAAGGTAGATTTTTTAAGTATCTAAAGTCAGTGATGATACACACAGAAAACTTATTTATCAAATTGTACACTATGTTCACTGATCCAGTGCAGCAAAAAGTGCAAGAACTCTATTGGCTTAATAAAAACATTTGTTTCAAAATCAATCATGTAATGTCTTTTATTTGGTTAAATATAAAAAACCGTAAATATCAGATTTGATCCGTTATTGTAATTTAACTAATTGCATAACACTCATAACATATTAGTAGTATAACAACAAAAATAAACAACAAACTCGTAACAATGTTAACCTAGAAGAAATGCTGTGATGGTAAGCGAGAAAAACACATTACCACATAAGAACTGAATGGCAAAAGCTTACAAACTGAGAATCTTTTAAGCAACATAAATGCATTTAGGCGATTAAAGTTTGAGATTATTTATTAGAAACTATTACGTTTTACTTTGACTTAACTTTGTGGCACTGTATCAGATTCATTAAAGGGATCCATTTAGAACAACTACACTCCTCTTCCACCCCTTGATTTGATCCAGAATTTACTATGACAATATTAATTGTATGTTGTGTTTTTAAAACAGCCGGGCTTTGAAAGCATTTTTAATAAACTAACGTTCAGCAAACTTAATAATCTTGTAATCAATTTTAATGTTACCGACAAATTATGACTAGTAATTCAAAGAATGTCTGATTACTTTTCCTGAAACATCTACACTAAACTCCAGCAAAACTTAAGGCTAGTACTCACTAGGACACCCGGTTGCTTATCAACCGGCGATCTGGTTGACGAGCGACCAAATTGCACAAATATCGCCGTGTGTGTACGTGTCTGTCAATTTGGTTGACGGCGATTTGTAGGTTGCCAGGCAACTTTTTGGTTTTCGGACATGTATCGAAAACCTGGGGGTTTCCGATCAACCATTTTATCGCCAGGCAATCAGATTTCTCAAAAAACTAGAGTGTGTACGCTTCAGCGACCAAGTTGATCAACTAAAGACGGCTAGCGCATGCGCAGTTCAACGAAAAATGAACTGACGAAACAAAACCATGCTAAAATCTCAATCTGCCGTCCTTTTTTTCTATGTGAGGTGTCACGGGTGTCACTGGTTGCTTAGTATGACGGAAACTGTCATCTGACATAAGTAAATAGTTCTTAAAATCTTGAGGATTTTAAGTCGAAAAGCTCGTAGGAGTGCCAATGTGGCTGGCTGTAACTATTTCTACTTTAAAGCCAACCTTTAACCCAAAATCTTCTAAACAATTTCTTTCTTCTTCTCTACTTCCCACAGTTTTTAATATAATCAAAACTTCGGCAGCTATTTCCTCTCCGTCGGGGGCATGGTGTTGTCATTGAGGTTCACACTTTGATAGGCTTATGCGTGAACCAGAACAAAACAAATTGTCTATCCCCACCAAATTTTGATTGATTTCCAGCTTGGTTGAAAGTGCTAGGTATCCTAGTGTGTACCACCCAGCAATAAAACGTTCAATCATCAACTTAGTCGCTCGTCAACCAGGTCGCCGGTTGATAAGCGACCGGGTGTCCTAGTGAGTACTAGCCTTTAAGTTCTGCCAACTTAATGGCCTTTTAAACTGTTATACTTAGAAAACGTACCATGTTGGGAGTAAATCATTTCCTGTTAACTTACCTATATTGTCAGAAAATAGCAAATACTAAAAAAAGTGACATAACCATTAAGTAGATAAGAAATCATAAAGGCCACACAGTCATTTGATTTGACAAATTATCGTACAACGTAGGAAATGGTAATCCCCACTTCTATACATAATTAATTGGAAATATACTGTAGTTATGTTAAACAAACATTACAACTAAATCAGCGGATTAGTGCAACCACATAAACTCAACCATACGCCCGTTTTTCGACCAGTATTGGTCTAGATTCCTTATTCTTATGTTGTTGGACAATGATGAGTAGGAAATGTGTTATGATGCTGGGTACTTTTCAGTTGTGAGGTTGGTCACTCTAGTACGCAGGTGAGGTGACAGTGCTGGTTGTCTTCTGGACGTGACGCTCGCCTTGTGCCAAGTCCCCACTTACCACTCCTTGGTACTTCAACCATGCATCATAGCCGTAGCACACCATGGCGCAGAATCCGAAAAACTGCAAATACAACCACTTAGTATTGTGCTACCTCAATAGGTATTGTGCTACATCAGAAAATAGTTGCCAACATGTGTACATGAAAAAAAATTTGGTGGGTATTTTACATATGACCTAACTGTGCATGATTTAAAACCACAAATGACCAGTTAAATAAAAGTAGACTTACAATGATGCAAAAAACATAATCATTCTGAAAAGAAGTGCAGTCATCTAAGGATGACGGGGATGAATAAAGCTTGACGTCAAAGAAGAGATGTGACTTATTAAGTATCAGAGAGGTCATTTAGAAGACGTTAAAGAACAAGGGACTTTCATCTTTGATATCAGTAATATTTTAATTAAATAAATACAGTCAGAAATAAATATCTTCACTTGCTTGGCTTTGTAATAAATCAAGGATATTACAACAAAACGACACATATTTCAGTGAAACTGTGGCCAGTTTAAATTAATAGTTTTAGGACGCTTGCTCAGTAACGGGTCTGTAGTCGGCAATCGACTGTGCTGCTGTTGGTCAGGACATCGTCAAAATAGTATAAGGTCGGAAAGCACCGCTTATTCGCAAGCTTTAAAAAAAAAATACAAAACATAATGTTAACTATTGAAAAAAAATATAATTTTTATCACTAAATACACTAATTAACATGCTCTTTAATATGGTGTCCCAACTATAATTGTTCATAGTGCCAGTCATTTTATATTTTAGGAGAAAGATTGCATTTCTTTATGGGAAATGTAAGAAATGAGATATTTTATATTCGGCTTATAATTTAAAAGTATGATTTTTATACTGTACAGTCTTAATTCTACATACATTTACAAAGTTATGAGAGTGTTGAAATAATTTTTGAAAAACAGATAGACCAGAAATCGAGGAATTATAATTATGCTCTACATGTTAAAGTGACGGCCAGTGCCGGCAGCCGAGAATCTCTGTCCTCTCTGGCATCTTAAGGAAAGAATGGGTTTATGAGGTAACTCACCGCTGCGACTCCCAATGCTGCAGAAACGCTCATGAGGCCGGCGACCATGGTAGAGGCAATCAGGTAGAACACTGTCCATAAAGCACAGAACCCAAGCTCCTACACAAACACTTTTCTCATTAGCTTCATAATATTAGTATTAGACAACATTTATTATTACAAGGGAATATGGAAACGTAAGCAGATGTATTTTAACCCAAATATGAATGAAGGATAAAATGGAATGAGATACCTGTGAATCTTTGTCAAGGATTAAGACTGGATTTTTCTTTGGCAGGACTATTTATTATAAGCCCAAAGACATATAACAAAGAAATTCTTAAGACAAACAAATTGAGGAAACCTGAATTAGATTTAGATTTAATAAATCTCCAAATGTAGGTCTACACATTAATTTACGTTTTGTTTCTTTTCTAGCGTATTCTAAATATGATACAAAGTGTAATTTTAATTATTTCCCTACTTTTAAATTCATAGAAATATTATTGTTAACTCAGTTAAAGTTAATAACACAACTTACTTATACTTACTATTTTGAGCCATGGAATGTTGAAGAACTTTTCAACTATGTGAAACAGATAGAAGGCCAGTAATATCCCACTGAACCAGAACGCAAAACCTGCGATTGAGTCAAAGAAGCTGGCTTGAGAGTAGACTGCAGTGCCTGATATCGCAATTGTCATGAACCCAAGGAAATTTAGGGCCTGAGGAAAGTAAGTTAATGGTAATTAAATAATATTAAGAACTAGACCCTAGGTTACTTCTTAGCCAAAATCATATTAAATATTCAGACAATTTACTAATTAGAAAACTATAAAAAAAACTATTCAACAACCGGAATGATGCTGCTGATTTAAATTAAACTTCAACAAAATATCCCATTATTATTTACTCTTAACAGGTAAAAGAAAAAAGTAATTTGTTTAGTAAATTTGTAAAAATAAATAATGCTTAACAATTTACCCTCCAACATTTACCCTGCTTACCTACCCTCCAATTAAAAAAAATAATTAAAAAGAAAATACTTAAAAAAGCACAATAAAAAATAATATAGAACCATGACCAGCGATATTATTAATCTAAACAAATCAGTTTTCCATATCAATAGAAAAACAAATGAATTTTCTTAATCATAAAGCAATAAAAAGTATCAACATGTCCATTTAAACTATAGGCTACAATATAGTGTTTATCGATTACCATATTCAAAGCCTGATCATCACAAAAATCGGTTAACCATTATATTGTAAGTTCATCGAGCGACCACAGCTGAAGTGTTTCCTTACGTGAATAAATTAACTCTTCTGCTACTTGACCATGTGCACCATTCTCACTCAGTTAACTTACCTATAGGCATTTCTCAAAGACAGTTTGTAATTACTATATTCTATTAATGAGAAAATATGTTGTGTAAACAACTAAACATTACAGGTGAGAAAGAAATAGGAAATATACTAGGCTAACCAAGTTCTCGTTGTTACCTACTATAATTCTTGTTTCATTTTTTCAATTTATATGTGTTCCCTAGATGCAATTCACTTCTGCCACAGAAAACATACTACTATAACCCAGATTGCCAACCGCATGGTAAAAAGCATTAAGTGTTTTGAGAGAGCTTTGCCTGTCAATCGTAGGCAGCGCCACCAGCGTTGCCATGCACTCAGCATAGCAACGCTGGTGGCGCTGCCTACGATTGACAGGCAAAGCTCTCTCAAATCACTTAATGCTTTTTACCATGCGGTTGGCATTCTGGGTTATAGTAGTATGTTTTCTGTGCTTCTGCTCTCCTAAAGTTCAAGACAGAACTAACTTAACTTGCAGGTTTAAATATTTGACATCTTGGAAGGAATAAACTTAGAAGAACCATGGGTACAAGCATAGGACCTGAAGTCAGGTTTGATGACCAACAATTATAACAGGTTTTGAAACCTTAAGTTACTTACAACTTGGGCAACTTTCAGCATCCCCGGCAATGTTCGAAGGTACAGAGGATCATAACGGATGTCTGTCTGCACAGTTGTACTCGTTGCAGTCATGGTTGTTGTTGTAGTATGCTGACCCGGAAAACCTTGGTCTGCCATGGTTGTTCCTGGATTTAGAACCGAACATAGCTTTTATGATCTATTACAACTTAGGTTATCAATGACTTGTGATCATTATACCCTAAACCAGTCAATCGTAATAGGTAATAGGCCTACTTAACATTTACCGTACCTAAATGTTACTTAAAATAACTTATGTAGGTACTAACTTAAATTATCACACAAATTTGTAATTATAAGCTTATATAACTTATATAGGTAGGGCCTATCTTGGCTAAGTTAGGTAAAAAGTTCAGCCTGATTTAAAAGTTACCTACCTATATAAGATTTTAGCTATAATTTGAGCATAATGCCTGTTCTACCTCTGTAACTTACATATTTTAGTAAGAGTAGGCCAACCTTATGGGCCAACAGGCAATTGTGTTTAAAGTGCATGGTAAGTTAAGTAACAGTGTGATTGAGTTCATCTCGAAACGAATCCATTTTATGAATCTGTAGAATTTTATGATGCTCTGAAGGCTGGCCATTGTTTTAATTTGTAATTTTTATCTATGTATGGCCTACTCAGGTATGTGCCACAATTTCATTTTTTTGTTTTTTTCCCATAACTGCATGGTTTGCCGCTTTGCTGTGTGAGATTAAACAATTTCAGCATGGTTTGCAATGGTTAACATTTAGGCTAATTTATATATAGGCTACATAATTTGGTTTTGATTTATATATAGCATAGTTTTGACGTTACCGGTACATACCTATTGTATTTTATTACTGAATGGGATAGTAAATCTCTTGAATATCTCTTGAATCTTAACCATAGAGGACGGTTTACATACGTATGCCGGCCTCGTAAAAACCTCACATCTCTTTCTATCAGAGAATTTATCAGGCCTAGACATACCTATGAGGATGAACTAAGTGATCACAAAAGAAATCATAGGGTAACTTAAGTTAGGCAACCTACTGTGTTTGGGCTTTGACTATTAAGTAATACAACTAGACATTCCGTTCCATCCCCATGTTAAATTTGTAAGTTAGCCAGGTTTTTATCAAAATTGTCGTAGTTGATGTGAGCCACCTACAGATTACGCTGATCTAAATTACTAAATTCTGTCTAGTAGGCCTACTAAACTTTTTTACCGAGTCAAATTTAGGGAATGACTTATGGTGAGCTATAGCAACTGTTATGACTCGACAACCTGGTCAGCAACAAAAAATAAGGTATAAAATAGAATTTTAGACACTAGGGCATTCTGTGACTGGCTCACACAACTAAGTTACGTTATGATGGGATGTCTACTTCAGTATTCAATAGTCAATGGTTTGGTTTGGGGTGGCCGAGTAAGTTACAGAGACAAAAAAATAGTGATAAAAAGTTATTTCCTTCAATCCCTAGGCACAGTAGGCTAGTGGTAGGCTAATAAATCTGTAGAAGCAGAAGCCTCTACTGAATTTACTATATTTTGTATTGTCCATAACTTAATCGTTTAAATTGCAAGTAGGTGGGTGTCCTAATATTTTAAGTTGGCAAGTTATGCAATTTAAAATTTAAACTTATAGGCCTAGCCTAGAAATGCGTACTTTTTTAAAATTGAATTTTCTAGCGTTAATGTAGATTATTAATTTCTAAGGATGGGGAATGAGGGATTGCAAAATCATCATCGCTTAAAATAGGAACACAATACTACAGTAACACGCCTACTTAGGAGTGGGAGTGTCAACTTTCTTTCAAATATAAATGTACTAAACAAATAAGCTTTATTTGAGAGAACAGATTTCTTTAGTTAAGCCTAATCTGATAAGAAATATATTTCATTTTACTAGGCTAAGATTAAATGTATTTTCTTACCTTATGGGGGTTTATTATTGATACAGAAAGAATCTCAAAATAAAAATATTTTGAGTAGAAACTTACAGACGACGTCCACAACGACAAGAAATACCCAATCAAACCACTTAACAACACTATTATCATAATTCATGAAACAACTTGACTCCAATCCACTACACTGCACATAATTTTATGGCCAACACTGTAGTATCATTGATTATATATAGTCATCATATCCCTTGGAGATGTATAACCAAGGTTAAATGGATGTAGGTAAAATGTGACTAACTTACTTCAGATTCGGCATACTAAAACACAAGTGACCCAACACAAGTAGACTTCCGACTTCCCATCCCATTGTCAAAATTTATAGCTCGGTTTTTATCTCTATTTCATATTGGTGACAATAATCACTAGTGTCAACGTATTTGTTCTATTATTTTAGACCTATTTTCATGATCCCAGAGGAACCCGATCCAGAGCTGTCTTCAGAAGGAGGTATCAGCCCACGAACTATACCCTTCACCACGGAATCTCCAGACTGCTGAGATTTAGCGAAGACGTCTGCCCACACTTGGATTTCTTTGGGCCATCACCAGCATCCTTCAGACGTGATGTCCAGAGGCTGCTCTACTGACACCTCTCCGCTCTCTATCAGTGTTGGTTATTTGGTGGTGCCTCTAAAGGGCCACATGCTGGGTGCCGGGAAGTGCTGATTCGTGTCAAGTGATGGGATTTGTGCTCTTGGAGTTCCTTGGTGGTGCCATTAGAGGGCCACACGCTCAACAGTGTTAGGTGATGAAATGTCTTGTTGTCAGCATTCTATCAAAAAGTTTTTCTCCCTCCGGATCCATCCTTTTGTTATATAGTTTTGTTTTTATGTTACGTTAGCTTTTTCACAGTTTATGTTGTTATCTATTGCCATAATCTATTATTGTTATGTATAGTAAATTTATTAATGTTAATTATTTACAATGTTGTAATTTTGATGATTACTGATTGTTATTTATGTTAATTATTCACACTTATTGTTATTGTAGTTAATTATTTACACTGTTTCTTGTTATTGATGTTTATTATTCACACTGTTTCTTGTTATTGTTATTGATGTTAATTATTTACACTGTTTCTTGTTATTGTTATTGATGTTAATTATTTACACTGTTTCTTGTTATTGTTACTTTTTTCACAATGTTGTAACTGTTGCAATTTTACTCAAACTGTCCACCACCACCACCAAACTTCTTACTCATTTATTGATGTTTTCTATTGTATTATCTTAATTGTTGCATGTAAATCGTGTCAATGTATTATTTTGTAAAATGGCGATTGCCGTCGGAATGAATAAATAAAAAATAAAAATTATTGCTTTTGTTGTTATTAGATTTCTCATCCTTATGGAACAGCTAAAGCGAATTGTATTGTTAGCAGTTCTGTCCTAGGAGGATTAATCCTCCTAGGTTCTGTCCGGTGATAAACTGAGGCGATCCATTCCAAAACTCACTTTATCAATTTTTTCGAAATTGAGTTATTGGTATCACTTATCACTGCATTCTGCAAAAAGGCGCATTTATTTGTTATAAAATACCGTGTCAAAACTTGTGTAATCCTACTTTAATGTTAAAAAGTGTGTGTCATTTCCAAAACTCACTTTATTTCGGTTGTATCATTCGAAAACTCACACTATCATTGTAATCTAAAATCTCATCATCATGTCATTTCTTATGCACCCATAAAATGTTTTCTTTTGTATCTGGTTGCATGTATGTCACTTTTCATGTATTATTTTGTATGATGGCGATTGCCGTTGAAATGAATAAATAAATAAATAATGTATTGATAAGTAATTGAGTTTGCTAAGTTTCATGCTTTTATATAAGTTTACCCAGATATATTTTTGTTTGTTAGCCTGCCTTCGGTAAAGTCGGTATCGTCGGTATATTGTAGTCTGCTGCTTTACGTACGTTTATGTTATTGTTTTTCTCATTTCCTTTTCATTCAGACAGTTGACAGTTGACAATGACAGCTGATTCGGGTTGGAAGATTATGAGGATATGACAATTTGACGTAATTTTATCATTACACCTTTTATTTTGTGGTTATTTGTATCAAATTTAATTAAACTAAAACTACAAACTAGGACTCGTAACTGGGCGGTCGGCACAACACTTGACCGCTGTCGGTCAGAAATCACAACATCGATGATAGGCTTATTGTAGGCCCTACCCACAGTTTTTTCATTAGGCCGCCTACTTGTAGGGTAGGCCTAAGCTTAGTTTATACTACTGTTGATAATACAATTTGGGCCTTAGGACAAGTTGTTGCTTTTGGCATGTTTATGACAACAATGTAAATCGACAACTGCCTAATAATATTTACCCAGGCCTTACTGAATAGTCCTAAGGAGTTGTAGCTCACGATGGATAAGAGCAGGTGAGTACAACACGTATTTGTCGTTGGAATGTCGTGTCCCTCATTATAACAAAAGGAAATTCAATTTGGGTACAGTTTCAACTGGGCAACGCTAATATGACTGATGAAACTATCAAATTGAAAATATCGATTAATAGGGTAACCGATTTTTATCTAGCCTAGGCTAAGTATAATAAATTATAAAATTAACTGTCATAGACCTAACCTAAGTTAACTAACCAAACTTGCTGATAATGAAAAATCAAATGAAGATTTACTAATCGAATCGATAGTTTCAATTGATATTAGCAAAGACCAGTTAAGAAACTGTAGCAGGTTAGGGGATGACAGTTTAATTTTATAACCTAATTCACATAGGCCTAGGCCTAGTTAAAAATATGAATTCTAGGCCTACATAGCTTCTAGGCTAAGTTAAGTACCGTAGTCAATTGATGTTTTCAATCGATTGTTTAAATCGATATTAAGTTAGCGTAGGCCTAGCCCAGTTAAGAAACTGTATGGTACAGTTGGATTTTTTTAGCTAGAAGTGGTTAAGGTGTGGTGGAATATCTTTGAAGATGAACCTATTTGGCTGTAGTGCGATCATGTGTTCATTGTGTCAAATTTTTAGGGTACTTAAATCAAAACAAACAATCTGGCATGTTGTCAATAATTAGGCATGTTGTCAATAATTAGGCGTTTACAGGCCTTTTTGAATACTTACTCATAATGTTCTCGCCATACATTTCACTCATCTGTCGATGATATTCAATAGCTTTCACACCTTAAGAACTTAAAAATCTAATTACAGCGCGCACTTCACAGTCGGCGGCAGTCTTAATTGGTGGCACCATTTTGAATGCTTGAAACCGGATGTAAACACGGCAGATTATTCTCGAATTTCCAGCTAGGTCTAACCAATAGATGCCCAAACACAGCGCAAATGTTGAAAATGCCAATCGCAGTGCAGGAACGGAGAAATTTAAAAACGGTACTTACTTATAAAACATGTCTCGTAGATAGCCAAGAATAAATTGAGCACACACAAAAAGGAAAGATAAATACCCTCGCCTCAGAAAACCTGGAGACTAAGTGAATTTATAGTGTGATTAGATTTTCACTGAAATCTTTTAAAATAGCATTAGGTTTAACGAGTACCTAGGTTTGCTGCCAACTTACAGGGAGGGTTATAAAGTTGTTTTCTAGTAAAATATTATTCTTAAAAAGTTCTAGGCTATAAAAAAAAAATTTCAAAGTTTTATTAAAATATGCCCATAAATAAGTGGTACTTAACAGTTTACGTATTTTCATAAGTAACATTTAATATCTGGAAAACTAATAGGCCTAGGCTTCTAAAATAATACTGTATTAAGTGTAGGCTAATAGTATGGGTTTTATAAAGTTTTTTTTTTTCACCTGTCAAAAACGTATTGCTTATTTCTAGAGAAACTGCCTGTCAAAGCACCAATCAACTAACTTAGGCTAAGTTAGATGAAAGTTATAACTAACTTACCGGTACTAATGTTTAATACTAATAATTGTATTTGCAAATTTCTTATTAGCAAATTTCCCTATAGGGAAGTAATTACCGTAGGTGACACGGTAACCCGGGATCCTTTATGGGGAAATGATATAGCCTACTTTTTCATTTTGATGTCCCTAGAGGCCAAAAACACTAGGTACATGTACATATATACAGGGTGTCTCAGACCACCCGGCCGGCTTGTATAGCTCCAATATGAAAGCAAATGGAAACCTAATTGCAACTGGAACCCCCTATTTTGACCCCAAGGAATTCAGCTAAATTATTTTCAACCCCAAAAAAGCACCCCAAAGGGCAGATTTTGGGGGGTGGGGATGGTTTTTGGGAAATTTTCAAATGTAAAGGGGGGTCGTGTTATACCTCATTTTAAAGGTCCTTTAGTCCTGAGTATTTTAGTGGAAAAAGATTGAAATTATCTTCATCCCTATTTACAGGGTGTTCAAAAACGTACAAAAAATAGACCTTTGAACTACTTTTCACTGTAAAGAGGTGGAATTTCATGGGGGGTTCAAATTTTGATAACACTTTAATTGCTAAATGAGCTTTCAAAAAACTCTGGTTTCAACCCTTTTGCTATCTTTTTACTTATGTTACACATTTTCAAACTTTAAGAAGTTTCAAAAGCTGTTATCTCAAAAATTTCAAATGGCAACATGGGTTTTATTACAAACCACATTGTAGCCCTTATAATTAGCTACAAATTTTGTATTTAATGTTTTTTGGTATCTTCAATGGTTAAAGAGATATAGTGAAATTAGTGTATTTTAATGTTTTATTAAATTGTATTCAAAGTGTTTGCTGTTGTAAATGTACACCTCTAAGTCTCAATTAAAACTAATTTTGTCTAAAACAATAAAATAGTACTCACATTGTTGATCTTGGAAGATTGATAAAGGAAAGGACACAACTGCAAATATTCTTAGTTATTTTACAATTCCATGGCTCTAATAGTGCTTTAAATGAATAATTTGTTTGAATCAGCATTAATAGTCTACATACCTCTGGACTTCTACAAATGCTTAAATTGCCTTCCATTTTGTTCCATGCAAACCCCAACTCTGTTTATAGGCACGTAATACTTCTTCTCCACTATGCTACTGTATTGCTATTTTACTACTGCAGGTGCATTCACCTATCGTACAGGTCCAGTAAGTTCCTTAAAATTTGTTTTATCTGATAAAACGTGACCAGTTTCACGCACACACTCATTGATTTCATGATGATTTTTTTTTACAAGTAGCATTTGTAGACAGTATTCATTCAAAGCACTATTAGAACTTTGGAATTGTAAAATAACTAAGAATATTTGCAGTTGTGTCCTTTCCTTTATCAATCTTCCAAGATCATCAATCTGAGTACTATTTTATTTTTTTTAGACAAAATTAGTTTTAATTGAGTCCTAGAGGTGTACATTTACAACAGCAAACACTTTGAATACCATTTAATAAAACATTAAAATACACTAATTTTGCTATATCTCTTTAACCAATGAAGATACCAAAAAACATTAAATACAAAATTTTTAGCTAATTATAAGGGCTACAATGTGGTTTGTAATAAAACCCATGTTGCCATTTGAAATTTTTGAGATAACAGCTTTTGAAACTTCTTAAAGTTTGAAAATGCGTAACATAAGTAAAAAGATAGCAAAAGGGTTGAAACCAGAGTTTTTTGAAAGCTCATTTAGCAATTAAAGTATTATCAAAATTTGAACCCCCCATGAAATTCCACCTCTTTACAGTGAAAAGTAGTTCAAAGGTCTATTTTTTGTACGTTTTTGAACACCCTGTAAATAGGGATGAAGATAATTTCAATCTTTTTCCACTAAAATACTCAGGACTAAAGGACCTTTAAAATGAGGTATAACACGACCCCCCTTTACATTTGAAAATTTCCCAAAAACCATCCCCACCCCCCAAAATCTGCCCTTTGGGGTGCTTTTTTGGGGTTGAAAACAATTTAGCTGAATTCCTTGGGGTCAAAATAGGGGGTTCCAGTTGCAATTAGGTTTCCATTTGCTTTCATATTGGAGCTATACAAGCCGGCCGGGTGGTCTGAGACACCCTGTATACGTCTATAAACGCAATAAATTGAGTAAATTTTGTCAGATTTTGATGAAATTTGGGTTGAAGGTGTTAGGCGGGAAAAACCTGAGTTCGCTTACCAGCATATAATCGGACTATGAATGGGGTGTTATGGGGTAAAAATTGGTCGTTCTAATTTTTGACCCTCAAAAAAAAAAAGATTTTTCAATTTCTCTTTACACTATTTGAAAGAACTTAAAAACAAATGATTTAGTATATTGCAGTGTTTTGTGCGGTTATTAGTTCCGGAGAAAATTGAATAAATTGCAAATGTAATATTCCCATGTTATTCGTATGTAGAATAAGTATACTGTTGTAGTTTGCTTGTTTATTGATATATTTTTATCAAACTTGGTAAATTTATTTATTTTATACTAAGCTATTCATATTTTACTAAAAAACTCACTTTATTACCCTCTCTGTAGCAGCAAACCTAGGTACTTATTAAACCTAAAGTGTTTTATATTATGTTTTGTATTTATGTAGATTTACATAAAAATCCAATGTAGCATCTGGATACTGTACCGGTAAATGGAAATTTACTTAGTCTGCAGGTTTGCTGTGGCGGGGGTACTATATTAATCTTGGACGGTCTAGATGATTTTTTAAGAACAAGTATGCTTGTAACACCTAATATAACGGAGAATTATTATTCCAGGTTTTCACTTCTTCTTCTTGATCCAAACGAAATATTTTTTGAAGATTTGAGTGTATATTTTTACCAGTTTGATCAATATAATAGCACAGGAGAAAACTCTGGAAGGGAAAATCTTGGCAGACTCAGAATATGCTCAAAATCATTGGTGTTTGAACCCAAAGATGTTGTAAAGCCTTTAATAAAAATGAGATTTGAAAATTGTATGTCAATTGAAGAGTTGAAAGTGTCGGAAAAAGAAAGGTAAGTCTTTGAAGATCCATAGAATGTTAATTACAGTAGAACCTCAATAACATGATCATCAATAGAAGGTCATCTTTGATAACACGTGTGATTTTCATTTTTGTGATGTCTCATTTTGATTTTGTATTCCTCCAATTACATGTTACTGCGAATATGGATAAGACATCTAACTTGATAACAAGTCTTTGATAATCCCCATGAGAGACTTGCTAATGAGGCTCAACAGCAGGCCTATCAGTACCTACTCGAAATATCTTGGTTTTTGTTCCAAGTTGTCTTGTTGCCTAAGGAGGAAATATGGACGGTTGTGCAATACAATCAAATCAGATCAAACTCTTTATCTTAAATAATTGATACTGATATAGATTCATTGATTGCCCTTTTACATGCATCGTTGGCAATACATAATGTAATCCTACTAATATTATAAGTGAGAAAGTTGTCATGTATGTATGGATGTTTGTGACAAGTAAACACAAAAATTACTAAACCGACAGGGTTGAAATTTGGTATGATGATAGCTCACATTCCCGATTAACATATAGACATATCTCAAAAATCCTTTCGGGCTCTGCCCCAGTGGCTTACCTTATGAGTATTCATATTAAAAAGGAATTTTGTCAGTGGTTTCAGCAACTGCACAATTTGGTTCTATGATATTAAATATCAATAAAAAGTTATAAGGTTTACCATCAGGGTGCAGCACTATTATTTTTTTCATTTATGACAACAGATAGGTACCTAATTTGAACTAACTAGCAACAAAAAGCTGTGGTACACAATGAGAACTTTAGTTTTTTCTATGGTTTAGGTGCAGTGGTAGAACATTATGGCAATGGTAGATGTGCTATACTAAAGCATACCGCATAAATTAAAAGAACCAATTTTTTTAAAACAGTGCCCTCTTCCATAACTGCAATAAACACTTGATACTTATATGCCAACCCTGTAAGAAGGACGGGTACTCTGCTAGTATTGCGTAATATTTCACAGATGCTCAACCACATTGCTCTTCAAATAAACTTCATTAGAATTTCATGAATTGTTCAGTGAAATAGAATTTCTCATAATTTATTATGACGTAGTTGAGATGAGTAGGTAGTGATAAAATTTATGGACATAACTACATTGGAAAGATTTGTCTTCAGAGATCACATTACTTTTCTGATTTTTAAATATCGTTTAAGGATTTAAATCTTGTCCAACCTGCACGCTATCACATGATCAATTTTACAACGATAATATTTTCTAATAATTAAAATTGAAATTCTATTTTAGTTTTGTTTTTGCTGTCCAAGGTGGTGGTTAGGGAAAGCGGTCCAAACCCATATAAATATCTGTAGGCTTATAACTAGTTCATATTGTGGCCGTGTTTTAGATTTTTCATTATTTTTAGTGTTTAAATAATTAAGATGTCCATTGACTTTGCTCTCTAATTAAGTTACCTTATATCTTCTTTCAGACTGACATCTTCCCATTTTAACAGTGGCATATGTGTGGATTGCAATCGCCACGTTGAAATGTTGGAGGGTAACGTAATAGCGCCCTACACTTTCAGAGACGTAAGAAAACATGTTATACATTCTTATAAATAAGAGCAGTACACTTAAGTTAACATAACAGCAAACCTGGTTTATAAATCTTTGCAAAAATTATTAATTCTTGTTGGCAAGTAGGGCCTATGCATCTGTTCATATTGTCCTTTGATTTCCATGTAACCTGATGGTAGATTGTTATTTAAAAAATATTTTTTATAAAACTGCAGTCAGCAAAAAATTTTTAGAAAACTACCCTATACAACCTGACGGCACTACGCCTTTTGGTGTCAAACAATATGTTTTGAACTGATGAATATTCATCATTGGCAGCACCGGAAATAAAATCTAGCACATTGATATGGTGCGATGTTTATCAATTTTGCACATGTGTACCCTACACAAATGAGATTATTTATACAAAGTGTGTGTAAACGGGTCATTCCATGTGGCACTCAAACTGACCATCTTGGATTTTGATGAAATTTTGAATATTAGTAGTATTTTGAGTTATGAGTTTCTTTTTCATGCTGAATCTGAAAATGCAATCAGTATAGTTTAACTTGATAGGGAAAATAAATAAATACTAGTGTACATGTTGCTCGAATTCGAGCAAGCAAAGTATTACGGGAGTTATTTCAAAACGAATAACAGTCATATAATGAGTTTAAAAGAGTCAACTCAAAGATTACCGGTGTGTAACTCAGACCATGTTTATCTTCGTTATTGATAAACCTGAAGCATTCCAGCCGGTTTTCTCCTTCTCAAAATGCCTCGCTGTACAGGCAACACAGGTCATTGATAGAGGGCCAATTGAGAACGAAAAGTCGTTTTGGGGTAGTGTTAGGACGCATTTGTAACCTAATAGTTGAGATTGGCCAGGGTCAGGTGCTGACTGTGATGAGTTAAGCCTATTACGCGCCACTGTTCTGTAGCTGCGGTCGTTATCATGATTACGCATCCTGTCTATGTTTTGTTGTCGTCACGTCGGAGGCATTTAACCCTCCGAGTGTTATTTTTCGATGTGTCGACACATAACACACTTTGTGTAGTGTTTTGTGTCGATGCATCGACTCACAAACACTGTTTACGGCGAAGGCTCTATGACTGACAAAATCGGATTGAACTGGTTATTGAATCGAGTTAGGTATCGTTTTATTTTGCAGATTCAGAGCTTTCTCCGGAGGTCTGTCTCTAAGCGCTTTTCATTTTAGTTCCGAAAATATTGTAGCAGACAGCTGACGTGCGTATTTGTAAACAGCTTGGTTAACCTCGCACCGATGACTGATGTGTTTTATTACGTTTATCATTGTTTTAGTGTTAAAAATCAAAAGTAGTGATATACGTGGTGCATTATAAGAAGATTTAAGTGATTTTGAAGGGCTGGTTGATGATCCTGAAGAAGTAGGTAGTGATATTGATGTAAATTATCAGCCAGATTCCTAGCTATGGTTAGGCTATGCATTCTTAGCTAAACACTATGTACCGAAATCTGTTTTTTGCCCATAACTTATTTATTTGCAAATCTACTTCCTTATATTATATATATTTGTAATCCTCATAAAATTTAGAACGAAGTGGCTATTTTCAAATATTTATAGGCCTATAATTTATACAATTTCATTGAGCGCAAACTTATTTTTTTTTTGAAAATTTTCCAAAATATTTTTTTTTACCTAAAAACTTTTCTTGAAACAAATGTTCCTTATGTTTTATGTATAATATTGAAGCCCATGATTTTCCAAACAAAATGGCATATAGAACAGTTTAATTAACATTGTTTTCAAGCTTCTCAGATCCGTTTTATTAAAACCTTGCAAATGAGCAAAAAATAGGCAGACACTCGGAGGGTTAAAAGAAAAAACAACAAATAAACAAATTATAGCTATACAAAACAACGATAAACACACAAATTTAAGTTACAATCATGCTAACACGATCCGTCATAGCGACACAAAACGACGATAAATACACAAATTTAAGATACAACCATACTAACACGATCCGTCTTGGGGGTTATGTTTACACAAACACAAATAGTAAACAAATGTACTCAATGCGTTTCATTGAATTGAAAAATAAATAATAGCAATTAAATTATATAGCCTACAGCTGATCAAAATGTAAACAATTATGTTCTTCAAAGGCCTGTTCACACCGGCGTAGCCCGACGTCTGCAGACGTATTCGGTGTATTAATACGTTGCCCGTGCACTGTTCACACCGCAGCTACGGCTGACGGCTACGTAGCCGGTGAGCAGGCTGTTGTTTGTTTATTTTATTATATTATTTTATATTTGTTAATTTTATTATTTATTTTTATTAGCGTTTTATGGATTTCAGTTAAGATTGTCACGGTTCAATTGCAGCTTGTATAGTACCCTGAAAAGTCTATTGATTAATTAGTTAATGTTGACAAAAATGTTTCACTCTAATTTTAGGCCGTATATAGTAGACTATAAGACTTGTGCTATATTATAATATAAAATAAATATTATCAGAAAACATGCAATAATTTAGCTCATCCATGGATTACATGATAAAATATTCTATGGTGTAAGTAAGACGTAGGCCTATGTCTAAAAATAATTCATTAATGTTTCATAAATATCAGCCCACAATATGAACCATAATAGACCATATTAAGAGAGACGACTTTTTTGATAAGGAGATTTACAAGCAAAATATTAGTGAACATTAGGTACTCGTATGATGAAGTATTATTATATTGATCATATAAAGTTTTCTTAAGGTTGTTATGTTATAGTGATTTAATGATTTTTTAAAGTGATTCTTAATTTTTGTGTTATAATCCAACATTTACCGCTTAATAAATTAATTATAAGGTGGAGGGAGGGTGGCGGCACAACAGCCCGGTGTGCTAGTGCGCATGCGCGTATTCGGCTATGCAAGCTACGCGTAGCTAGCCGGCGTAGCGGCAGCGCCGTAGCTTCCGTAGCTCACGTATTAATACACCGGTGTGAACACTCTCTATGAATTACATTAGGAGCTACGTCAGCTACGTATTCCGAAAAAGTATTAATACGTCTGGCTACGCCGGTGTGAACAGTCCTTAAGGATAGCATGGAAACTTTCAAAGCCACTGGGGCAGAGCCCAAGGGTCTTTTTCAAAAATGTAAGGCCAGTTTGCAAATCTACGCGACACGCTCTTTCCAATGTCCAATGTGATGTCAATGGATGTGTGTATGTCAATGGATGAAATCGGTTAAGAAATGGCGGAGGAGTTCAACCGACAAAGTTTCATGTAGCGTATTAATTATATAGATTAGGCCTCTTAGAGAATATTTTATACAAAAAAAAAAAAAACACTAATTTTACAATAATTTTAAAATAAGTATATACAGGGTGAGTTTTAAATGTCCCCCCCCCCAACTTTTTTCTACATTTTTTCAAATATCAATCCCAGACCACTTCCAAACATTGTTGGGTAGTCAGTACTTCATTTTGACAAGGTGGTCATTTCCGGCCGCCATCTTGGATCCGCCATATTGGATGCAAAATATTTTTTTCAAATGTAAAGGTCGGGTTGTGACCCATCATTCCGAACTAGATTTTTACCCTGATTACAATTCCACAAACCGTTTAAAAAAATCTTGATTCATTCCAAAGTTATGAGGACTTTTTAAAACTTTATTTTTAGCCCATTTTAACATTGTGCATTTACAAACTAAGACCATAATCTCAAAATAGTGCTAGATAAAGATAAGTATACACTACCAGTCATTGTTGACTTATTTCCACTTGGTTATGGCTGATGTATTTTTTTCGGCCGCCATCTTGGATCCGCCATTTTGATATGTGAAAAATTATTTTAAATATGAAGGGGGTGTTGTGACCCATCATTTCAAATTACTTTTTTAAGCTGAACTCAATTCCATGATCCGTTTTTCATTTTTATGTTTTGATTTAGAAATATTGACATTTTTAACAAAAAAAATGCAATATTCCAAAAATAAAACTTGATAACAAAAAATGGATTGCGGCATTGAGTTTAGCTTAAAAAAGTAGTTCGAAATTATGGGTCACATCACCCCCTTCATATTTAAAAATATTAATCACATATCAAAATGGCGGATCCAAGATGGCGGCCGAAAAAAATACATCAGCCATAACCAAGTGGAAATAAGTCAACAATGACTGGTAGTGTATACTTATCTTTATCTAGCACTATTTTGAGATTATGGTCTTAGTTTGTAAATGCACAATGTTAAAATGGGCTAAAAATAAAGTTTTAAAAAGTCCTCATAACTTTGGAATGAATCAAGATTTTTTTAAACGGTTTGTGGAATTGTAATCAGGGTAAAAATCTAGTTCGGAATGATGGGTCACAACCCCACCTTTACATTTGAAAAAAATATTTTGCATCCAATATGGCGGTTCCAAGATGGCGGCCGGAAATGACCACCTTGTCAAAATGAAGTACTTACTACCCAACAATGTTTGGAAGTGGTCTGGGATTGATATTTGAAAAAATGTAGAAAAAAGTTGGGGGGGGGGACATTTAAAACTCACCCTGTATATATATATATATAAAACTATCAAAGATATATATATCATATAGGCCTATATCTTTGATTTTTTTTTATATATACTTATTTTAAATTTTAAAATTGTAAAAATTAGCGTCAATATAAAATATTCTCAAGATCAAAATAAGATCTAAAATATATTCAAGATCTAAAATATTTTCTAAGAGGAGTAGTATATGCCCTATCAAGTTAAACTAAACTAATTGCATTTTCAGATTCATCGTGAAAAAAAAAGAAATCAAAAACTAAGTAGACAGATACAAATTAAAGGAAATTGGTGAAATTCAACTTTTATCATTAGTTTAATGAGTTGATTGTTTTTTACAGGTTAGGAAGAAATTTATTTTTATTTTGAACTACGGCCACACAGAACAGTTCTTACGGCGAATAGGCCAACTTCATAGAGCAGCCAGCTTGCCTGCCTCAGAGCAGAACAACATGGTTTGTATTAAAGAGTCTGTCCTACTAGTTTGAACTAGTGGTTTATGGAAATTAGTGGTCCATTCTCAAAGATACTGTTTGTCTTTCAGTAAACATTTATGCTTGTATATTGATAACTGTTTGATATCATTGTCTTTGTTTGGTTGACTGGAGCTAGCGATTACTAAAACAGACAACTTTCGTATCGGCGTGTAGAGAGTAGTTACAAACATAGCTAACAACATTATGACTGCTAAACAGTCACTATCCAAACCACTGTAGGACACAATTACTTTAGATGGACTGATGGTTTTAATATAGGCTACCCAGCTGTCCTTGAACATTCCAGGGCTTTAAATAAATGGCTCTGGCTGATGAAACAGCTGAGTTTAGTCAAGACATCTCACTCCATTTATACACTCATCCTTCACTTTTTTCATATTTCACCCCTGTAAAATAGTCTTAAGAAAATATCATAATAATTATATATATACTAGCTGTACCCGCGGGCTTTGCCCCGTTTAACTTCTTAATTTTCAAGATGAGCTCGTTCGCATGGCTCAATCACGTCCTGGTCGAAGTTCGTTCGCTACGCTCACTCACCTTTCAGTTGGAGCTCGTTCGCTACGCTAACTCGCCTCCAGGTTGAAGTTCGTTCGCTACGCTCACTCACCTTGTGGCTGCAAATTAGCTGTTGTCATAAATAAAAAAATAATAATAGTGCTGCGCCCTGTTGGAAATCCTTGTAACTTTAATGCTATTGAAAATCATAGAACAGAACCAGCCTGTTTAATTGAAACAGCTGATAAGATTCATTAATTCCATTTAAATATGAAAAATCATAAGGTTAACATGGGAAACTCCAGAGCCACTGGGGCGGAGCCCGAGAACCCGATCAGAATAAAAACAACTTAGTTTTCCTATTTAATGCCTAAAGAATCGGTGTACCAAATTTCAGCCTCCTAGGTAAATGGGAAGTGGGAGAATTAGTGATGAGTGAGTGAGTCAGTGAGTCAGTGAGGGCTTTGCCTTTTATATATTTAGATAATTATTGTATTATTTATTTGTGACGAATAAAGTTATTTTGATTGATTGATTGATGCTACCACTTATCAGGATTTGTATTCGTGGTGAAGATGAGTGTCGAATCTTGAATGTATCTGATGATAGCTTTACCATGATCAGCTGTTTCTTTTTGCAGGACCATTTGCTCAATCAAGGTCAGTTATGCCCAGTTTCAGACCATCAAAAAGTTACTGAATTTTCTCAGTATCAATCCTTATGATTACGATTCAACTATAATTTAAATAAAAAAAAAAACTTATATGTTTTAAAGCTTTAAATCTATACTTTGTCCCTGTTGATCTACTTATTAATTACTTCAGCATTAAAATTAAAACTTTCAATATAGATTTTCTAATCCTGATTGTTGATGTAGCTGCAAGCTATAGAGACAGCCATGCAGGCAAGCAAGACGTTTGACCGGCTGTGGCTGCAGGACTTGTACGAACAAGTAGTGTTGGAGACAACAGCCAATAAGATCACTCCATTGGTGGTGAATCCTGGGATGGTGCTTCTGTCGTCCGCGACGCTCTACTTCCAATCTTACAACAACATAGAACCGGTAAGCAGACACCGTTGTTTTTTGAAGATAAATAGTATATAATTTTACCAATAAAATTTATAATAAGTCGACGTTTTCATAAGTGTAGGGTAAATTTTAAAGTGTTATACATTGTGTATGGTGATATTTTTAATGATAAAAAGTTGAGTTACTTAAGAGCAGGTTTTAGACAAAAAAGAGAAGAGCTTTTTCTAAATTCTTTTGTAACAGCCAATTTTCAAACATTAATGACAATGACAATGCATTATAGAGTTTTATAATTTTGGATCTAGGCCTAGTCATCAAGCAAAAAGTAATGTAAATTAATATAATTCTCTAAGGTCTTAGATAAAATGTGATTAGAAATGTACAAATTTGTACCAAGAGATAATACAGTCTGTTTAATCATACCGATGCAAATCTTGTTACATTTATTGCTTGTATTTGTTACGATTATAATTAAGTTTTTTCCTTTTCACAGAATAATTTATTGAAAATAAACCTTCCAGATATACGGAGTGTTACAAAGAGAAGATTTATGCTTCAACATGTGGTAAATAGTAGTAAATTCTAGTATAATACTATAGTATTGTAATACTAACTTTACCCTGCAACCATTTCTAGTGACAAAAAATTGAACACGATTTTTTATTATTAAGTCAATAGGAATCTCATAAACTAAATTAATAACTTAGTATAGCATAAATGTGTAGCCTTGGGGGAAAATAAATAGTTACAAATAAATTGACAAGATTGTATTTACAACACAAACAAAATGTATTTATTTAACAAAAGCAGCACAAAACAGCATTGCCAGCTAATTATAACTTATGTAGTAGAGATGTAGTAGAGAACACTTTAATGACATACACTAAACCAACATATTTGCCTCTCCTCTAACACAACATATAGAAAGACACATGTGGCAGTGTAGACGTCAGGGCGCGTCCAACACCCGTCTGCTTGTCTTTATTAAACGCCTCATTACAGTCCATAATATCAGTCCGTACTATTTCTGGAGGAAATCATAGATGTAATAACCTAGATTCCTGTTCGTTGAATGATGAGGTACATGAAAACTTACAGGATACTTTGAAATACAAACTTCAAATTATATTGTATTTATAAGAGGCAGATTCTTGAGCTGCCTCAACAAATGTTTTTGCGTGTTGTGTTTGCATGGTTTTCCTTCCCTTAGAATAAGTGATTAATTTTATTTATTGACGGAGCCCATTGTATTAGAACAATGCCTCAGGGAAAATAAATGAATCATTCCCATTAGGCAGTGCTCTTGGCTAAAGGAAAGAAAACACTTTTGGATTTCTTTTCAAAATCCTACCCTATCCTTTCAACACAGTAATATTTAATTATTTTTATAAAGAGGTTAGTAATTTTACATTTAACTTCCTTTAAAGAATGAAGTGTTTATTAACTGAAAACATAAAATAAATAAATAAATAACATGCAATAATGGTATTATTCTGTTATAGCGTAAATATCAGGTATTTTCTGTTATATACACCACACCAGCAAAGTGTAATGTATTTAGGTATAGATATACAATAATATAGGTATAGACACTAAGTCTAGATATTAAAAAAAGATCATGTATGGCTTTTAGTAGAGGGAGATCACCATTGAATTAATTTTAATCGACACTATGACATACGCTGTATTTTATTGTGGCTTAGCTATGAACGTTTTTCAATAATGATGTCACATGGTGAGTGGTGGAAAGACCCTCCTGAAATACTCCCACCACTGGATTATTTGTGAGGAATCTCGGTGGACTAGCGTTTCCTGCGTAAATATATCGCTGGATGTGCGTGCACACACCTTCTTTTATACGCCTTGGGGGGACAGAGCCTTGGCTGAATTTCTTATAAAAATATTCTTCAGTACGAATGTATAACCTGTAAAGGATTTGTGTTTTCAAATGACTTTGAATCGTTATCCATTAAATAGCATTTGAAAAATAGTGTTCACAAATTTACTTTGTTTATTTATATACACAAAAAAAAAAAAAATTAAACCGAGCAGTCAAAGATGAACAAAACATTTAATCCTTCTTTTAAATAAACATTTCCCCATTAACTTTGTAGTTAAAGATGATTGTCTTATTTTACATCAACTGTTTAATCAATCATATAAAAAATATTAAAAAAAATAATTCTTAACTTAAATATGTTTATGATTTAGAAAGTTTACTGCTAGGTAAGACAAATATAGAACCGTGTCATTCTGTTTGCTTAGCGGTAGATTACCCATTATCATGCAGAGAACGATACGTGGTTATCTTGTTGCATACTGATCAAATGAATCATGAGGTGTGAAACAGCTTTTCTTGGTGCTGTGAGTCATGTTATTTCAAGAGCTCTTGTTCCATAGTCCAAACATGTGGCATAACACAATTGTAAATTGGAGCAACTTATTCTTATTTAGTTTGAGCTCAAATTTAAGATATTTAATTTTGGTTTAATTTTGGGTCATGTTAAGTAAACAAACGTGACCTCACAGGGTTTAAACCAAAATTATGAGCTCAAACTGAAAAAGTTAATTAAACCTTTTTGTTATATCATTGCAACATGCAACACCCACATTTATTTATAAATGCATTTTTTAAGGTTAAATTGATAGGCCTAGTAAAAATAAAATTCTTGGTTTTAGCAAATTTCCCTATAGGAATGTAGCTATTACCGTAGGTCTCATGGTAAGAACTAGACCCAGGACCGATTTACTTTTTCATTTTGATGTGAGGTTTTATGGGGTAAAAAATGGGTTTTGTCCTCATTTTTGACCCTCAAAACAAAAATTTTCCAATTTATCGGTCTAGACCATTTTAAAGAGCTTAAAAAAACAAATAATTTAATACATCAAAGTGTTTTTGTCCAATTTTTGTCACAGAGAAAATTCAAAAAATTGTAAATTAAAAATTCCCATGTTATTCTTATGAAGATATTTATATTGTTACATATTGTTTATGGATGAAACTTGGCAAATTAATTTATTTTATTCTAAGCTATATTAATATTTTACTAAATACAATTTATTTCCCTATCTGTAGCAGCAAACCCAGGTGCTTGATGAACCTAATGTTATTTGAATATGTAGATTTAATTGAAAATCCAATCAGGCAAATGGAAATTTGCTTAGTTTGCAGGTTTGCTGCGATGGGAGTATTTTATATTTTAGTGACTTATGCTCGCCATTCAACCCCGAAGGATCAACAAACTCTTTTTTTAATGATATTATAAATGTTATAATTTACTGATATAACATGTACTAGAATACATATCAAGATCTATATTATTAATAGGCTACGCCAACACTAAATTTATCCTGACCATTCACGTCTCATTGGAAAGAGTATGTCACGTAGATTTGCAAACTGACCTTAAATTTTTCAAAAAGTCCCTTGGGCTCTGCCCCTGTGGCTTTTAAAGTTCTCAATATTTACTCTGCAATTCAAGGAAACGTGTGCTACAAACATTAAATTTTACTGACAGTAGGAAATTATCATTATGACAGATTAATAAATCCAATTAGACTGTTTTATTTACACAAAGGTAAATCATGAATAATGTCTTTTAGCTACCAAATCAAAATAAAAACAGAACAGTTGTAGAAGTTCAGTTACATGAGACGGTAATTAGTAACATCTTCTCCCCCTCTGGATAAAACCGCTACCTTGGTAAGGGGCCTTTGAAATGTCTCATATGAAGTGGTTACGTCAACTATTTGCCATTCGGACTTGTCTATGTTTTTTTTTGGTACACCTCTGATATTCGTCCAATCCCAGGAAGACTTAATATGTCGAACCTTTAGATCTACTTGATTGAAGTTTGGACAGTTAACTGCGGCCGCAGCTGACCTCTCTTCTTGATCATGTTGTTTGTTGTGTGGGGTTTCACTCTATAGTCTGCAATCCAGTGTTCTTGCTGACTATCTTAGCTACGGTACGCAGTGTTCAAACAAAGCCTCATTGTTGGTTGAACCTCTTACTGACCAGTCGACCGCACTGTTTGCTTTTAGTCTCTTCAAAGGCTTGTTTACAATACAAAACAATACAAATCATCTTTATTGATGAAAGTATTTTTACCGGAAATACATGAAATGCGTCACAGAAAGGAAAAGAGGAAAAAAAATTAGGTATATAAGTATTCTAAATAAGAAATTACAAACATAAATTATAATATAACATATTTCTAATTATTTAAATTCCAAAACTCTTCTATTGAATTTAATGATATGGATTGAAAATAGTTTTTCAGTAGTTTTTTTTAAGTTATTGTAATTATGTTAATTGAAAATATTTTTGGGTAGGCTAAATTCATTTTTTTTCCAATGTAACTGGTGTTTTGCTCAAATAACTTTAATCTGTGTTGTTCTACATGCCTGGTGTTTCGTAAATTGTAACTGTGGAATTTGTTAGTTTGATAATCTGAACTTTTTACAAGTAGAATAGTTTCAAAAATGTATAAATCATAGATGGTCATTTTACCCAATTTAGACAAATATTTTCCAACTGATTCTCTGTTTTTTATACTAAAGATGATTCTAAGAGCGTTTCCCGTTGACTTAGGATTTTGTCCAGGTTTTTTTTGTGGTACCACCATATAAAGCTATTCCATAAGATATATGTGAATTTATTTAAGCAAAGTCCCTATCTGAACAACATCAAGCTTTTTGAATCTGCATATCAAGTAAATACAATTAACGTTATTACTGAAACTAACCAAAAGAATGCCAGTTGAAGCAAATAAAATTGTGACAGCCAAGTTATATCCAAGGATATCAGGTAGCTCTTAAAATGTGAACATATTTTATATTTTATTGCTATTGAAAAAAATGACTGAAATTTGTAGACATACTGGTGACCATGATGGTACCATGCACGTTACATTATCAGTAACAATGATAAACATGAGAACCTTACAACCAAACTATATCAGCTTTTGAAATTTGATAAAATATTTACAAGAAACATTGATTATATCGAACTGGTAACACATCGTGAGTATTTCCATTAGGCACATAACCTTTGAGTTGACTTTTTATAATCATCAGAAATTATGACTGTTATTAGTTAAAAAAATAATATAAACTTCAAAATTGCTCAAATTTGAGCAACATGTACACTAGTTTATCTTCAATTTATGTACTTCAAAATTGGGTTTTTGGAACGGCCATTTTAAGGGTGTAGTCCAAACCTGAATGCTACGATTGCTTGGTTTTATTTGAACTTGAAAAGTGTAAAATTTGATTAAGGAACAGGATGTAAATCCCGACGTTTACGAGCTAGCTGCATATTCCCAAAAGACATAACCTGGGTTTTTACTGAATGCAGATAGTTTAAGGGTTTCCCCCAAAAGTCATGGTCATTAGATTAAGATTAGAGAAAGTCAGAGAAAACGTCCTTTAATTATGAGAAGTCAGAAAGCCAATAAACAAAACTCAAGTAATGCAATTGAAAAGTTTATAACAAATATATTTGCTTCATGATTTTTTGGATCGCTCATTAACACATACCTATTCGATTTTTAAGAATAATCATATTACTATCTTAATTGAATGTCCTTTAAAACTAAAGAAAAAGATTTTTTGAAAACATGGAGTATATTTTAAATACTATTTTTGTCTTTCAATGTATGAGAACCGATGTTTCATATTTCATACTTAAGTACAGTAAAAGAAATAAATTGAAAGAGGAAAGACATTTGACTCCGCCGCGTGTCTGTTGGACAAGTCACCCGTTTGGCCAAACCACGATACCAGTTTCAAGTGTAAATACTTTGTGTGAATAGACAATGAATTATTTGTAGTGTTAGTGATATGAAGATAGAAGACCCCCTAAAGATGCCACACACGCTGGTGAAATTAACAGGGTGAACACAAACCGTAGCTCGAGAACAAAGGCAAAAAAAGTAATAAATACTAAAAGGAGGGAGGGATGGTGGCATTCTTTTTTATATTGATAATTCTAAAACCCCAAATAAATACGGATGTATGAATATATATGAAAAATATGTTGTGGAAAGTACATACTCTGCAACAGCTGGGACAAAATCAGTAAATCAAAAGGGATTCCTACATTGACTTTTCAGAGTAACGAGACCAGATTTTGGGCTCATCCATAACTAAAAACATCACCAACAATTTACATATAAAAGCACACATTCTACATGAGTTATACAAGTTGATAGAAAATGATTTCTTTTAGGGCTGCGAGGTAGAATACCACACTCACAACGGGTTGCAAAACCTGTTCCTAAGCTTCAAGAAGCGAAGTGACCGAGAACAGTTTTACAGTTGTCTTCTCTCTCAGCCGAGCTTGAAACTGGCCGACCTGGACAGGGAAAGGATGACTTTATGTTGGCAAAACGGACTTCTATCAAATTATGACTATCTGCTCTACCTTAACAGGTTGGTGAAGGATTCTGTTGATTGAATTTTATTATGTTTACATTCTTTTTTCCCAACACAATTATAAAAAAATATCATTTTAATTTATTTGGTTTGTTTATTTTTATTATTATTTATTTTTATTTATTAAATTTATTTATTATTTGGTCAGATAATACATAAGAAGATTTGGTACATAAGAAGACTTTTTAACCCTTCATGACGGTTTAAAAAGTGTAGTTCTTCCTTCACAGTAATTTTGCAGTGTGTTAGCCACACTTTTAACCCACTGGTACTCAAGTAGTTTGTTGAATCTTACCAGCAAGCGCTAGTGTCGGATGTCCTTATAGTAGCACTCGTTCCGGCTGTCCAACGGTGACCAGGTGGCTAAGGCAATTGCACTGACGAGTGTGGAGCTCAGGTATTTCTATATGCGCGGGTTCGATTCCTGTACAGGTATCAAGAATCAAGAATTTATTTGCCGTTAGATAACATAGTTAGGCTTTGTCAAAATATCTTTTTTGAGAAAAAGTAAAAGTAAATCAACATACATGATTTAAAAAGTCCTCAGTTGAATAAAATGCGTTATCCTTAAGCAACTTACAAACAGTGGTACAAAATTTCTTAAATGGTAACATTTTTATATCAAAAGACAATTTGTTGTAAAATAAAATCTGATGGTAATTATGACTATTGAAATATTTTTTCACCACACTGTGATGCTTTTAGCTGTTTTACAAACATTAATTGGAGGCTGAAAGTTACGTATTTCTGTCCATGCCAGCTGTCATCATCGGCATTATGGGGACCGAGCAGGTTTTTACATCTCTAGGGCTGAAAATTACCTGCTCGCTTATTTACTTAAAACATTGGTGTATACTAAATACACAAGCAGTATCCAAATTATGTTCGTCCCAAGACAGCTTACTATCAAAATATATACCAAGAAGTTTTACAGGTTTTAATAAACTATCATCTAAGACTAGATTCAAATGGTTACTTAAAGTTAATGTGTTCTGTTTTACTTTCCTTAACATTTAATTTGTTTGCTAAAAACCATGATTTTGATTCCTCCATAGCTATTTTTAGTCTGTGTTGAACACTGAAATAATATACATCAGAATGTATGCAGGGTGGTGTCATCCACATACAAAACATACATCACAGAAACGTTAGAACTGTAGTCATTAATAAAAATTAAAAACAAGAAAGGACCTAGGAGAGAGCCTTGCGGCACTCCGACTGTAATTTGTAGGAAATCAGAATCATTGTTATTACAACTAACCATTTGTTTTCTATTGCTTAAATAGCTTTGGATCAAATTCAACTCATTATCGACAAAAGGTACAATCCATACTAAGCTTACTAATGTGGCTTAGCTGGTTGTTAAGGGCCCACCTAGCCCAAGTAGTGTCTGGATTGGGCGGAAGTTGGCGATATTTGCAAGTTCAATAGGGACACAACACTTGTCTTGCTTCTTTTACACTATTATAGAGGATAATTTTTTTTATTTATTTCGGTTAAATATGGATTTGACGTGTTGAAATACATATGCCAAAACAAAAACAAAACATCCTAAAAAAATACATTGATAAAGAAATTTTACACAAATCCTGAGTCAAAGGGTTAAGATGACTTTTCTTATAGCTTATAGTAAGTTTAGTCATAGTCAAAGTATATGTAAAGCACTTATGACCTTTTGGTAATTTGGTGCTCTCCCTGTTTCTTAGGTACCCAATTATCGAAAACCAGTATTTTTAGCTTTCCCTAAAGGCTTAACAACTCTTGATGGTGATTGTCTGTATTAAACTACACCATTCTGAAGAATCTAATGATTAACTCATTTGACTATGACCGATTTGTCAATTGTTGTGAGACGTTCCTTGAGGGGTGGCTGAAGTTGAGGCGGTCAAATGCCTTGCTCAAGCTGAGAAAGAAATTAGTAACAACACATTCTTCTTGTAGTAGGTCAATGATGTGTTTTGCGAGCTGTGAAAGAGCAATTATAATTTACCTGCTTTTTGTAATTGAGAAAGCCATGTTGTTGTAGTGCGAGAACCTTATTCCGTTCCAGATGAGGTAGAAGTCTATTCAGGATAAATCTTTCGATGATTTTGGAGAAAGTCAGAATAAGTGGCTTTAGTCTGTAAGTGGTTTTATCTGTTGGATATTTTTTGTGTTTCTAGTAGACTTTTGAATGTTTATTGTGGGAAAGCGCCTTGTTTCATAGTTAGTCAGTGCTTGAATTAGCTGACTATTTTGGCTGATATTTAATCAATACCTGATGTTTCAGTGAGGCAGACAGAACCTTCAATGACCTGACCCAATATCCGGTGTTTCCCTGGGTGCTACAAGACTACACCTCTACCACAATCAACCTGCTCAGTTTTCATTCGTATCGTGATCTCTCCAAGCCTGTCGGTGCTCTCAACCCCATTAAACTGCAAAGACTAAAGGTATCAGACCAGTAGTAGAATTTTCTTAGTGTGACCAGTGCCGGATTACTGGAAATGTAGGATTATTGAGCAATGATTAAAGAAATCAGCCATTGTGAGGATATCAGCACTCAGCACCGCTCTAATAGGCGGAGATAGTAAACAAATGACCCATTGAAAAGATTATGATTAAAATAAATACCTTATACTCATTACTTAGCCATTGCAGATTCAGTACTAGTGTTTCAACAAATAAAATCTTATTTTAGCAGTTTAACCCTGTTTAAACTTTTTAGCTACTTAATGACATCGACACACGCTGCTAAAGGACACTTTCCCATCGGTAGCTTTTTAAAAAAATGTTGGTATACTGTTCAGTAGAACTCTAATTATTCTAATCAATCGGGACTGACCCAAAAAGTTTTCATATTAAAAAATTCATATAATTGAATTTTTTTAAATCATGCTATTAAATGAACAATTTTTTTATGAATACAACTTTATTAATTTAATGTAAATTTATGTATTATTAAAACATGTAAAATTTTAAATTTTTTAAAACTACCTGTTAGGGATGGTCAAGTCTCGAAATTTCGGGAAATTTTCGGGAAATTTTAAATCTCGTTACACGAGACGAGATTTCTTTTTGGCCGAGATTTTTACCGAGACGGGAATAAAAAAAAAAAAATAAAAAAAAAAAATAAAAACGCCTGCAGAAAGTCAATGCAATACCCGCAATACAGGAGCGTGTTGTAGTTGCGTTTCCTTTGTGAAGGCGTTCTTATTTCATTAATTCTTTAAATGTAAATATTACTTTAATTATTTTAATAATATTACTTTAATAACATTTGAGAATTTTTGTAAAGTGTAAGCAGTGTGAGAAATGTTTTATTACTATAAAAAGTCAAAACAAGTAACTATTTTATAAAAATTAATATTGCTTTTATTTTATGATTTATTTTATTTTAGGATAAGTTGAACTCTATCCTAACTGATATCACTATGTTTCCTAATCGTAGGCATTTTTAATAAGTTAGGTGTGATTAATAAAAAAATGTTATGCTGATGTTTTTTAATAAAAGATTGTAAATATTCTTGCCTATTATCATTATTTTTGTATTTAAACAGTCATCTAACAATGTTACAAAATCAGGTAAAAATTTTGAACGTGCATTTCCCGTTGTGTATGAGAAGGGAAATCCCGTCTCGATCTCGTCTCGAAATTTTATGAGAAATAAAAAATCTCGTCTCGTCTTGTCTCGAACTAAAAATCCAATCTCGTCCATCCCTACTACCTGTATACTGTATATACTATTATAAGTAGCCTTATTGTTTTATATAAATTATTTTAAGATATGATATGACTATTTGTTATAATTTTAATTTTTCTTCACCTGTTTAATAGCTACACAATTTCGTGTAAACGTTTATGTGTCAATAAAAATATATTTGTATTTATTTATTTACATTTATTCTTCTGTGGTCACAGTTACAGGGTGTCTAGTAGTCGGGAAAATCGGGAAAGTCGGGAATTAGTATTGAATTTCAAAATGGTCTTGAAAAGTCGGGATTTAGTCTTAAATTTGATTTCAAAGTCGGGAGTTTTCATGATTTCGCCGCGATCGTCGTCTTTCGTTTACGTAACTGCGAAAGCCAATGATGATATCTGCTCGGCCGCGGGAAATGTTCATGATTTTGTCGCGATCGCGAACGACGACGATGACGTTTCCGTGACCGCGGGAGATGACGGTGATGTCTAAACAGCCGCGGGAATTGTTCATGATTTCGCCACGATCGCAGACGATGACGATGACGTTTCTGAGACCGCGGGAGACGACGATGATGTCATTGATGTCTACAAGGCCGCGGGAAATGTTCATAATTTTGCCGTGATCGCGGACGACGATGATCACGTTTCTGTAACCGCTGCAATCAATGATGATGTCTAAACGTACGGTACGCGGAAGATTTCATGATAAAAAAAAACCAAATTTGCTAGTTAGAATTTTTTATTGCTGCATTATTTCTTTACTTGAAAACATGACATTATCATAATACTACTTTATGACAAAGACAGGGGTTGGTGTAGTATTATTTAGAAAATTTGGTTAAGCTCTATAAAAATTGGTATCGGTATCAAGAATTGAGAATCGATACATTTTGGTATCAACACCCACTAATTGTTGAAAAAACTAGTCTTGAAAAATCTGGAATTAGTCTTGAAAAGTCTGGAATTAGTCTTGAATTTTGTAATGGAAATAAACTAGACACCCTGCAGTTAAATCGTGAACATCTTCGACATCGTCTCTCACCAACATTGGCTGTACCCTACCCTACCCTTGCCACTTCTTCCCCTTTTCTTCACCAGTGGCATTTCATAAGAGAGGTCGCGAGAGAAAAAAATGTTCAGTGGATGTGCCGGGAATCGAACCTGTCCCTACCACACGAAGTCCGAGACGCTAACCACTAGGCTAGGAACACACCCATATATTCATGTAACATTTGTATTATTTCTGTTGATAGGAACGTTACGAGGAAATGCCAGAAAACAAGTTCCTATACGGATCTCACTACTCGGCTCCTGGGTTTGTGTTGTTTTATCTCACAAGGCTTTACCCTCACTACATGCTGTGTCTGAACAACGGAACATTCGACAAAGCTGACAGGATGTTCAACAGGTAGTTACTACTGTCAGCATTAAAAGATTGACATTGGTTCTTCTAGAAAATCAAAAGAGGACTAAGCTCTTCTGTAAGAACTTTGTATGTGGAACTTCTTTCAGTAGTTATCTGATTTTATATTCAGGTTGACAAGATGTATGATGAATCAGTCACTGATTTACTTTGTATCCATTTTGGTTTTATATTCGTAAATCTGGTCTAAAGATGTTGATGCTTTAACTTCCTTAATTTTTCTTCCTAAGGCATTGTGGTAATTCCCAATCTGCTAAATTTACATTGTGAACCTGTTTGCTTTCCACTTTAACAAAGTAATTGGAAATTTGCATAGCTCATTTTCTGAAACAGCAATAAGCTACTTTGTGTTTTACCAATAAACATCTCACAGTATTTATTATTTATTTATTTATGAAATTTATTTTTGAGAGATTAAAAGGTAGAAAGGACTTGTTCCTCTTATTTGCCTTTCGTATAAAGATAAAGGCATTTTTAATTTAATTTAATTTCTTTTAACTATATGGTAGAATAATATATAAAAAAGTGCAGAACAACAAATCGTTATTAGAAAACTTTTACTTATTGCAGTGTGGCAGACGTGTGGAGGAATATTTTGAATAACATGTCTGACTTCAAAGAATTGGTTCCTGAATTTTACGACCCAACCAACAACGGAGATTTTCTTTGTAACAAGTTCGGGATAAATTTTGGCTACAGGTCTGACAATACAAAGGTCGGCGACGTTGAACTTCCGCCGTGGGCTGAAGGTATGAAGATATAAAAATTCATTTGAACTTCAACCATCTTAAAGTTTAACATGGCTAAAAGTATCCAAATCTCATTTGACATTTAGATTTTCAGGATTTTTTAGTGATGATAGCAGACTTAACTGAATGGGAAATGGAACAAGAAACTCAAAACTTTACACTATATACACAAAACATTACAATATTTCTCTGTTACTGACAGCATTTGGTATGTTACCATGTTTGAATGGGAACTGTTTTTCACTTTGTAGGGCCTAAAGACTTTGTTACGAAGATGAGGGAAGCATTAGAGTCTGATTACGTCTCTAGAAATCTTCACAACTGGATTGATCTAATCTTCGGCTACAAGCAGACAGGAGACGAAGCAGCCAAGGCTGATAACTGTAGGTAAAGGTTTTACTTTATACTTACTTAGTTATCGTTCTAAAAAACTGTACATATTCTCATTTTTCAATGATTGTAAAAAGTTAAATAAATATTTATTAGGCGTATTGGCTAAATTTTTGAAAATACTTTTTGTTGCAAAACTTTTTTGTTCAGAAACAGGATACATAAATTATTTATACATTAAATTACACCTGTATAGCTTTTGTTGTTCCGTAGTCAGTTGATTCATTTATTTAAAATAAATGCTCTTCTTGACTTATCTTCTGCGATATTTCCATGATAATTTTCAGTGCAATATACATACTGTATACACGTGGATTGTTTAGAGTAACTAATTATAGTAGCATGAAAACCAGGGCCTCCCCGAGGGCGGGGCGAGCGGGGCAACCGCCCTGGGCGCCGCGGCTAGGGAGGTGCCGCAGCTTTGGAAGGTAAAAAATTTAACAACGTTATTGGCAAACCGAAAACAAATATTCTACGGGAAACTCATAAACATGTAATAAATGACAATGACAATTCTAAAAAAAGGCAATCCATAGCTTTCATTTCATTCATAAAATAAATACCGTTATTTAATATACAATTCGTACTATTACTACTTTTACGTCTGACATGTGACTTGTTGGCAATACTGCGAGTCCGAGACACACACACTGCGTTCTACGTATTCGCCCTCACGCCTCACCTACACTTTCTTGTTTCCAACCTCAAACTCTTACGTCAACTCAAAGTCGTTTTGTGATGTCCGCTGTGAGTCGTAAATTCTATGTTTTTAGTAATTAAGTTCAGTGTAGTTTTTACGTTTATAAAAAATACTTGCAAAACGTTCAATAGAGATATATCGGTTGGGTCTAATGACGCAAACCCCCCAAATACCTTTTTTGGAAACAGGGGAAAATTTAAATCTCGCCCCGGGCGTCCCTGATGAAAACCAGTAACTTAATGGTAGGAAATTATTGTATGTCATGACAATTTTTGGTGCTCTAGTGCCGCTAAAAGAATGTTTTCTTTATTTTATTTTTATTGTTAAATTTATTTTTCTGGTCAAAGGGAAGTGAGCTGGTCAAAGGGTAGAGTGTGGGATTTCTTTCCTCGAGGTCTCATGTTCAAATCCCGCTAATCATCAATGGATTTTATCCACGTGATAATGCTGCAACCTTCTATCCTGAAGTAATGTGAAAAATAATCCCAAGCTAGAGCCTAGTTAACAAAATATTGCTTCTTCTCTATAATCATATTTTTGTACCTAATCCTGTCTGTGTGCTGCAGTGTTCTGTGATGTGTGCTATGAAGGGGTCGTTGACCTCTGTGCTATATCTGACTACAACAAGAGACATGCGCTGGAAGTTCAGATCATGGAGTTTGGCCAGATACCGAAGCAGATATTTTTTCAACCGCACCCAAAAAGGACTACTTTCTGGGTGGATCGACCTGTTACCAGTGTCAGTTGTGCTGGTGAGTTGAATGTTGAACAGAATATTTGTTAAGAGATGTATTTAAAATAGTTAAATATACAGTTAAATATACACTAATTAATGTGAATCGTCATTTAACAATTGTGTAAGATCAGATAATAACTATATTTCTGATTCCTGGATAGCTGTGGGATGGTAATAAATTCTTATCCAAGCCTAACAGTCGTGAAAGTCTAGATGTAGCTGATTAAGGATTTCAATTTTAGATTAACTCGTCTAAGTAAATAATGTACCTGTAGTTATCAGATGGACATTAATATAGTCCTGAGAAATGTCAGTAGCATTTTTTAAACTCAAAACTGTGTTTAGCTGCCCTTAATCGTTGGGCTTTAGCAAACAGCTGGTCTTTGTCAGTAAAAAAGCATACTGCGGTACAGGCATCTCATTGTATTCTAGACTAATCCTTCACTAATATTTGACTTAAAATACGCCTGGTTGCATCCCCATTTCAATTGACCAAACTCATTCACTGATAAAAATTTCATTCGTCCCAAACTGAGTATATTTTAATTTTTGTTAAAACATATCTTTCTTGTACCCCTCTTTGATCGTGCTCATTAGAAGAAAAAAAAAAAATACTGGCAACATCAGTCGTATGAAACAGAGGAAACATTTAATGGTGCACTTAAGTGGTGCCTTGCACTAGTCGCTTCTCCTTGCTCTTCACAAGTGTTGGTCCAAGCACATACAAGAACTGAAATGCTTGGTCGTCCCATAGCAAGTTTCCTCTGTGCATCAATCCATTAAATAGCTTAAATATTTTCCCACCATATCTGTTTTACTGTTTCCAAACAATACTGTTCTTATATTATTAGTTCTTAATCTTTCTAACTGAAAACTGTTTAAGTAATCATATTTCTTTGCATCTTCCTGCTGCATGTACCAGATCTGGTGAGGCGTCTGGTCCCATCTTTGACCCTGGTATCTCACAAGGACGCAGTAACTGCTGTGACCTTGACTCCTGATAAGAAGCAGGCTGTGTCTGTCGGCCGAGACGGACTTTTGAAGATCCACTCAGTCGAGGGTGGCAGACAGGAGCGCAGTGCGGCTTTAGCTGCGACACCTCTCTCATCGTTGGTAGCCTTCCTGCCTACCTCCGTTATTGTGGGATCGTGGGACAGCAATATGCAAGTGCTTGATTATTTACTCGTAAAAAGATTATTATAATAGATATACAACAAATTCTTTTCATCCCTAAAAAGGGTCCATTAGATTAGTAGCCAGATTCCCTAAGTATCCTTTTATCAGGTTCAAAATTGTAATCTTATAGGCCTATAGGTCCTTTTTACAAATATTCCAAATTCAAACTATTGTTGGTGAATTTTCTTTTAGATAGGGCATTATACTTGTTAGAAGAATATCTGGAAGATAAGTAATTTTAAAATTTAAAGGTTTAAAATAGGTTTTATATAAACAAGGTAGACATTCAGTATTTGGTTCCACGTTCAGATTTGGGCAATTCTGAAATTCGGTACCTATCAAGCCCAAATTCATAAATTCTCAAAAATTGGCGATTCCTTAATATTGCCTGTAGATGTTGAGGGATCAGGAATCGGAATCGGAGAAATTGTACTAGATTAGTTTTGAATAATAATCAATGTTTAATTTTAAAATCCACTCACTTAAATATCGGCCACCAGTTAAGCATACCAATTGAGCAATACCCAACTAAAGGTTACTCCTGAAAATTTCAAATCTTTTTTCAACCATTTATTTCTAGTACCAACAGTCTAATAATCTCTAAAAATCAATTATGGAACTTTTAGACTCTATTTTGAATGTAAACTTATTACTTAACCCACAGTATCATGTACGATGTGGCATGTGGCCGCGTGATAGACACAATGCTGGGTCATGAGGATGCGGTCACATGTGTGTGTTGGGCTGCCGAGCGTCGTCTGCTGGTCACAGGCTCGTGGGACGGCTGGGTGCGGCTGTGGCAGACCGAGACCTTTCCTCCGTCAGAGCCAATCAGACCAGCGTCCGACCTCGTCAGTCAGTTGGATCACGACGGACGTGTCACTTGTCTATGTGTCAACAGGTGAGGTGAATAAAACATCTTATTATATATACAAAACTATCTTTGTTATTAGTAAAAAAGTGAAAGCTGTTTCAGACAATTGCTACAACCAAGGAGTAAACTGCTGTACGGAGAACTGCTGTCATTGACTGTTGGATACTGAAGTAGATATCTCATATTTTTGGACCAGGTGTTCCCAGTATTTTTTACTAAAAAGTTGTAAAGAGATACTAATGGATTGTGTTACAGCCTAGATTTCCATCCTTAGTTACTCAGACCTAATTATCGGCAGAAGTCTGGAGCAATCGGCAAACATATAGCGCAATACTGTATTTGAAAAATCCTAAATTTTCAAGTTTTGGTTGACTCTGCTCCAAACTCCAGTTTTCGAAACCCCAACTATCCAAATCAGAAATTTTAGGAACTTCTTACAGAAAGAATTTTTCAAAAAAACCTAAAACTGCAGTAGTAAGAATCGTTATTAAAGAAGGCAGATGCCTTGATCGTATCAAAATCCTGAAGAGCTCCCATGGTCGTGCAGATATCATCCTTAAAATGGTTTACAATACCTGAATATAGTAATCCTTTGTTGCTGATTTAGGCAACTAGTTTCGGTTATTGTTTTGAACCATCTTCAGGCCTCAAGGTGTCAAGTGATCTCTTCATTCGAAGGTCGTTAACAAACAGAGTTCAATAAATAAAACATATACAAGACGGATATCATCATCGTCACCTACAGTCACAGAAACATCATCCTCTGCAATCATGGTAAAAGCGTTAATTTTACGATCTTGAAATCATTGTACACACATTCTGTGATCACAATTCAAAAAGCATGGCTTGTGGAGCTCAGCCTCCACAATATAGTCAAATGTCCCACCAACAAGGCAATCATGTGAAGTCAAGCCATGGTACAACCCAGAACAATGGTCGCGCATGCGCAGCGACCATATCAGTCGAGGGTGAGTGAACCACCGGTTGTTGTGCTGCATCGTTAAAACGAGGAAGATGGCTTCGTAGACTTGTGGAACATGGGGGTAAAGCCCCCACTAACTGTTAAACTAATTTATTTCAGTAAATAATCTGTTTCAGATATCACCTATCAACAACTTTAATGTAATTTCCATTGTCACCTTTTAATGTCGATATTTTGCTTAATCCTTAGTTCACGTGGTGTCCAGTTGTCTGATTGTCTGATGATTGTTGCATATATTCAATAGCCAATACTATTTCTGTAGTTAAAATGTTTCAATTAATATTAATAATTATCAAAGCTGGCTTTTTGGGCCTGTGATTCACGGTAAATTGTCTCCCTTGGTTAAATTAAGAGGTTCAGTTGTCGTTTCCTACACAATTGGTTTTGTCTTAACAGTCAAATAATCGACAATAATCACCAATATCGTAGCCCAAACGCCACAGGCTTGACTCGGTCTACTTTCTATACAATTTCCCAATTTTGGTAAAAATCCAACTATTGGAATGAGGTACGGTCCCAATAAATTTGGATGACTGGAGTTCTACTGAATTTAAAATTAATGCTTTAAAAAGTTATCTGTGCAATCGATTATGCTACTAACTGATGTTAATGATCAATTAAATTATGCTACATCTTTCCAAAATGTCCATTATCATACAAAAATGGAATCTGTTATTTTTTAATTCATCAAAGTTGGTTATTAATTAGTTAATAATTCATTTAACTAATTGAAACGTGACTATTACAAGTTAAAACTGTTTGTGGCAATTTCTTAACCATCTTATATATTTCAGAACAAATACACAGTTGGCTTCCGGCACTGAAGATGGTGAAATATTCTTGTGGTCTTTGATCACATTCACTGTAACACAGAAAATAACAGGCAAGTAATCACTTAATTTTGATTTATATGAGGGTTGTCCAGTAATTAATCGACATTTCGGATTGGTGTCACTTGGGGCGGTGCTTTCGCCTCCATCTTGGTATCAGAGCGTTCCTACACTCAGTAGCCTACACATCCTATCTATTAAGATGGCGGTGATGGGCCTGATTCTACTTTGACCTGGCATGACCATGTTGTAGTTTTGAAAAATAAACTGAGTTCAAGTATATTTGCACTTAAACAATTACGAGGTGTAAGCCCGTCCTACGTACGGGAATTCAGTAGTCAGTTAAAACCGTGTACAATTCAGATCAGCTAGTTTACACATATAAAGACAAAGTTTCTTGCAGTTTTAATGTGAAAAATCATCTTGTAAACAAATGTTGTGTGACCAAATATGTTTTTATTCCATCATAGGCCTATACGATATGCATTTTAAATCCGATAATTTTACAATAAAACAGCAATTCTGCAATTTTTACGATGTGAAAAGCGTTGAAGTGAGATTTGCAGCCGATTCGCACAGACGCACACTGATTATAAGTCAGTGTGTGTAGCCTACAGTAGAGAGAGTAATAGTCAATTGAGAAGTGTATAGACCTAGTCAACGATACCGCCTTCCATAGCATACCTGCCTCTTCCATAATTATTATCATCACAATACAACTACTATACACAATTTCCAGTAGGTCTGAATAGAAACGACCTAAAATAAAACGATAATATCCAATAAAATTCACAGTACACATAATTTAACTTTGGTGTCCTAAAATCAAAACTAATCGTCACACCTTTCCTTTAAATCAATTTCACTGCATTAATTGCTAAATAAATAAGTGTAAACAAAGAAAAGTAAAAACAATAACAGTTTGTTTTGAAACAGCTGTTTGGTTCAAATAACATTCATTTGAAAAAAAGAACTGGTCACATGTAGCAGGAATATAAAAAGTAAACACGCCAGTAAAGCTAATGACGTAATTGTCGATGTTTATTATCCATACCATTATCAGTTCTATCCTTGATAATTACCCACCCTCATTGAATAAATGTACATCGTAATTTCCCATATTAGTTAATTTAAACTACAATATATTCATAGTTGAAATAAAAGTGATATTTTCACGTTCGGGGGCGCTGATATAGGCACCCCCAAACGTAACCACAACTGAACACGATTTCATAAAAGGATGGTTTGTCTAATTGCAGTATCCTAGGTCAATGTTGACGTTGTGTTCAATCTATGTCATCCATCTGTTTATCTTTGTATAAAACCCGGCTGAGGTTGTGGTGGTAATTTAAAATCGTGATTCCTGATTATTCTTGATCTTCTTTTTATAACATCAATATTTCCGTGCCTAATCCAAACAAAGTTGAAGCAGACAAACATTAATTGTAAACAAAAAGCTACAATTAAGAATTAAATCTTTCCTTGAAAAGTGGAGCAGTAAAATAATTTGCATTTATCCTTTTTTATTAAGACTCGTGTACAGAGCCTCGATTTGTACTGTGGTTTAATTAATTTTGGTTAAAACTGTGGTTTAAACTGTGGTCTAATTATCTCTACTAATCTTACTTATTTCCTATAATCAATGACAAAATAAGAGTAAATAATTGAGCGGAGCGAGCGAAGCGAGCGAAGCTCTTATACGTCGACTTTTATGCATTTCGTAATACGCAAACTCCTCCTAGACGGCTGAATCAATCGTTTTCAAATTTTGCATGGTGATAAAGACCATATCGGTGAGTGCCAACATCTATATGGCGTTAAAAAAGTCTCTCAGGAATCCGCCCCACTGGGTCTCAAAGTTTCAATGTAATCCTTATGGAAGCAGTATTTGACACATAAACAAAGACATATGATCAGCTGTTAACTTTTGAATACAGCAGATAAATAAATAGCTGATCTGATACCATTATTCCACAGATATTAGAACATAAACGGTGGTATGGATCAAAAATATAATCAAATGACGACACTAGCTTGAGGTCCGTGACGTAGGAAGTGGTGAATGAAGTAGTAAAGGTGAGCAGTCTGGAGTGTGGGAACTGTTTATGACGATTAGATTAAGGTATCTGCATTCCTAAAATTCTATAGGAAGGGAGGAAAATGGGTCCGCGACGTAGGAATTGGTGAAGGAAGTAGTCAAGGAGAACTGTCCAGAGTGTGGGAACTGTTTATGACGATTAGATTTAGGTATCTGCATTCCTAAAATTCTATGGGAAGGGAGGCAAACGGGTCCGCGACGTAGGAAGTAGTGAAGGAAGTAGTCAAGGCGAGCTGTCCGGAGTGTGGGAACTGTATATGACAATTAGATTAAGGTATCTGCAATCCTAAAATACTATTGGAAGGGAAGGAAACAGGCCCGCGACGTAGGAAGTGGTGAAGGAAGTAGTAAAAGCGAGCTGTTCGGGGTATGGGATCTGTTTATGACTATTAGATTAAGGTATTTGCAATTATAAAATGCTATGGGAAGGGAGGGAAATAGGTCCGCGACGTAGGAAGTGGTGAAGGAAATAGTCAAGGCGAGCTGTCCGGAGTGTGGAAACGGTTGATGACTATAAGATTAAGGTATCTACAATCCTAAAATGCTATGGGACGGAAGGAATACAGGTCCGCGATGTACAAAGTGGTGAAGGAAGTAGTCAAGGCGAGCTGTCCGGAGTGTGGGAATTATTAATGACGATTAGATTAAGGTATCTGCTTCCCTAAAATTCTATGGGAAGGGAGGAAAACGGGTCCGCGACGTAGGCAGTGGTGAAGGAAGTAGTCAAGGTGAGCTGTCCGGAGTGTGGAAACTGTTTATGACGATTAGATTTAGGTATCTGCATTCCTAAAATTCTATGGGAAGGGAGAAAAACGGGTCGGCGACGTAGGAAGTGGTGAAGGAAGTAGTCAAGGCGAGCTCTCCGGAGAGTGGGAACTGTTTATGACAATTAGATTAAGGTATCTGCATTCCTAAAATTCTATGGGAAGAGAAGAATACGGGTCCGCGACGTAGGAAGTGTTGAAGGAAATAGTCAAGACGAGCTCTCCGAAGAGTGGGAACTGTTTATGACAATTAGATTAAGGTATCTGCATTCCTAAAATTCTATGGGAAGGGAGGAAAACGGGTCCGCAACGTAGGAAGTGGTGAAGGAAGTAGTAAAGGCGAGCTGTTCGGGGTATAGGATCTGTTTATGACCATTAGATTAAGGTATTTGCAATCATAAAATGCTATGGATAGGGAGGAAAACAGGTCCGCGACGTAGGAAGTAGACAAGGCGAGCTGTCCAGAGTGTGGGAACTGTTTATGACAATTAGATTTAGGTATCTGCATTCCTAAAATTCTATGGGAAGGGAGGAAAACGGGTCCGCGACGTAGGAAGTAGTGAAGGAAGTAGTCAAGGCGAGCTGTCCGGAGTGTGGGAACTGTATATGACAATTAGATTAAGGTATCTGCAATCCTAAAATACTATTGGAAGGGAAGGAAACAGGCCCGCGACGTAGGAAGTGGTGAAGGAAGTAGTAAAGGCAAGCTGTTCGGGGTATGGGATCTGTTTATGACCATTAGATTAAGGTATTTGCAATTATAAAATGCTTTGGGAAGGGAGGAAAACAGGTCCGCGACGTAGGAAGTGGTGAAGGAAATAGTCAAGGCGAGCTGTCCGGATTGTGGGAACTATTAATGACGATTAGATTAAGGTATCTGCATTCCAAAAATGCTATGGAAAGGGAGGAAAATAGGTCCGCGACGTAGGAAGTGGTGAAGGAAATAGTCAAGGCGAGCTGTCCGGAGTGTGGAAACGGTTGATGACTATTAGATTAAGGTATCTACAATCCTAAAATGCTATGGGACGGAAGGAAAACAGGTCTGCGATGTACAAAGTGGTGAAGGAAGTAGTCAAGGCGAGCTGTCCGGAGTGTGGGAACTATTAATGACGATTAGATTAAGGTATCTGCATTCCTAAAATTCTATGGGAAGGGAGGAAAACGGGTCCGCGACGTAGGAAGTGGTGAAGGAAGTAGTCAAGGCGAGCTCTCCGGAGAGTGGGAACTGTTTATGACAATTAGATTAAGGTATCTGCAATCCTAAAATGCTATTGGAAGGGAAGGAAACAGGTCCGCGACGTAGGAAGTGGTGAAGGAAGTAGTAAAGGCAAGCTGTTCGGGGTATGGGATCTGTTTGATGACCATTAGAATAAGATATTTGCAATCCTAAAATGCTATGGGAAGGGAGGAAAACAGGTCCGCGACGTAGGAAGTGGTGATGGAAATAGTCAAGGCAAGCTGTCCGGAGTGTGGAAACTGTTTATGACTATTAGATTAGGGTATCTACAATCCTAAAATGCTATGGGACGGGAGGAAAACAGGTCCGCGATGTACGAAGTAGTGAACGAAGTAGTCAAGGCGAGCTGTCCGGAGTGTGGGATCTGTTTATGACCAATAGATTAAGGTATTTGCATTCCAATAATGCTAAGGGAAGGGAGGTAAACAGGTCCGTGAGGTAGGAAGTGATGAAGGAAGCAGTAAAGGCGAGTTTTTCGGAGTGTGGGAACTGTTTATGATGATTAGATTAAGGTATCTTGGTATCTACAATTTTAAAATTCTATGGGAAGAGAGGGAAACAGTTCTGCGACGTAAGAAGAGGTGAAGGAAGTAGTAAGGTGAGCAGTGTGGAGTTTGGAAACTGGAAACCGTTTGTAGCAGTTAGATTAATGTATCTGCAATGCTGAAATGCTATGAGAAGGGATGGAAGAATGTCCACGACATATACAATGGTGAAAGAAGTAGTAAAGGCTAGCAGTGTGGAGTGTGGGCAATGTTTGTGGCAATTAGATTAGCGTATCTAAAATACTAAAATGCTATGGAAAGTTATGAAAACAGGTCCACGATGTAGGAAGTGGCTTAGGAAGTAGTAATGTATGAACATATTGTGAGAAACGTCTGTAACAGTTAGATTAATGTATCTTCAATCCCAAAATGCTATGAGAAGGGAAGGAAACAGGCTTCACGACGTAGG